AATAATTCGCCGTATAGCACTAGTAAGTTCAAAGATCATTCAGTCACAGACACCGACAGGGGCTTCTACGGGATAACAACTGTGCTCAACCGTCTGTCCTCCTATTCTCTTAAAAAGGTAAGACAACTTTTATACCTCTATAATGATTATACGATTAATGAATTCATGAGGGAGGGAAGCACCAAGGAGGTATTTAATGCGGAAAGGCTTATAGTCTGGTCCAAAAATGCCCATTGCAGTAAGCCCGGTATTGGCGGACGACATTGGTCTTGTATCCAAATCTGAAGCTGGACCTAAAGAATGCCTGCGAATACTCGGCCAATTTTGTTTCTTTTTGAAGTTGTCAATAAACAAAGACAAAACACAGGGCCACAACATAAAAATTACAAATCACTACACATATCTAGGAGTAGATGTAACCCCGTCAGGTTCATTTAATCGAGTTATAAAACAACTTAAGAAAGCTTTAAGGGCTTCATTCAGACTAAAATCCCTCTTATTTTCAAATACAAACTCTTCCATCCCACTTGCCCTCGACCCGTTTAACGTACACTTTATCGCAATTATGAAACTCGCCAAAACTCTCGATTACATATTACTATTTAGAACCGCCCTGAGCCAAATGAGTTTAAAATTTAAATGTACCTCTATTACAACATTCAAACGTAAGCTCTAATATCATCCAAACCCCTGCACTTCTGATATTCTTTACGGTACGCATTCGTTATAGTATTAAGCTCAATTGCCCGGAAGCGACCTCGCCGTAGACTGTAGCGGTTGACACACGGTGGGACTGGGATGTGGCACTCGTTCAGGGGAGAACTGCTGTCCTGAAGAATGTTCCGTAATGTTCTCAGTGTGTCTGTGTCACATCTACTAGACAATTACAAAATAGCACAAAAAGGACGATCCCATAATTGTCACCCGACCCTTTTTTGCGCATTCCACAGAGCCAAACAACGTTCGGGGCATTCTGGTTTAAGGGCGTTGTTCTGGTCGACTAATATCACGGGTTGTTTTTCCAGGAATAGGTACAATAGGCACATTGAAAATCACACCGAGGTAAACGCTGGGCGTTAGGTTATTCGTTGCCCTACCTTTCTGCGCATTCCAAGGCAAACAAGTCGGTTTTTGACTGGGCGCCAAGATCTGATCACAAATCCCCCAACATATATCACATAACAACCGATAAGCTACCACATAACAACCGCAAGATCTGATTTGATTTGATTTATTAGAATTGTAACATGTGCAGTACAATACACGTGGGGCACAGGCAGCTGTGGCTGGTGTTGTGTCCCACACATAAAATACTCTGAAAACTCTGGAACCACGGAATCTCAGTAGTTTAGCGACTATCGCTTGCATGGACATAGTGGGAGAGTCACTGCAGCCTCACGGTTTCCAGGTGTTTGTCGTCCTTCAACGGGCCGCTAGGGTCGCTGTTGAACCAGGCTACTTTGAAAGGCCGTCGCTGGAAAGCACTTTTGGAGATGCCTCAAAAACTTATTGTCTTCGTCAGAAGGACTATGAAATTGTCTCGCCGGAGTGTGGGGAACTGCGGATTTTGCGATATAACTCTGGAAGGCATGATTCGACGTCCATGATTTTTGGCAGGCAGATTACCGCTGTTAAGGCCGAAGTCAAGAACAAGTTTTGGCTTCGTGGGGGGTCCGTGCGTCACGTTAGTGCACCTTTTGTGTTTGTGGCTTGTTAGCAAGATAACTCAAGTATTTGTAAAATGTTGATTATAATTCTTGGTGTGGTGCTTACTATTGTCGGGACCAAGGTTAAGTTCGTTACTGAGCTTCGTGGGGGGTTTCGTTGTGACTACAGGGGGCATTTTGTTAATTTTTCTTGTGAGCAGGATAACTTTTGTATGTGTGGATGGAAGT